CAGGCATGGAAGAGCCCAGCAACCTCCGCGCCAGGCACTCACTGGGAACAAGTGGGAGTTCAGAAATCAGGAAGCAGCAGGGAGCCTCTGAGCAGGGCCTTCTGGAATCCGCCATGATGTCTTAACTCTTAGGGTGACTCTGCATACCTTGGATAATGACTGCCTCCTGCTGGTGGGGCTCTGCTGGGGACAGACAGTCCCCATGGTAGGTGGGATCTCATGGGGCTGAGTCCTGCAGAAGCCCCACCTGAGCCACTGCTCCCAGGAACTGGAACCTGTGCTACAGCCTGCTTCCCCCCACCCCACCCACCCAGCTCTGCACTTGGCTGAGCTCAGCCTTCCCAGATTCCACATGAGCAAGATGGTGCAGCATCTGTCCCTGAACCCATTTCACTCAGGGTTTCACCTGTGACACAGAGGTGGGTTCCATTTCTTAGCTACCATGAATAGTGCTGCATCCCTTCAACATACTGACTCAAGTCTTTTGGGTAAATACCCAGAAATGGGATTGCTGGATCATATAGTACTTCCCTTTCAGTGTTTTAGGAACCTCTGCCTTGAGTTCTAAACAGCTGTCCTGATCTGCATTTCCATTAACAATGTGTCGGCTCCCTTTTCCTGAATCCTCATCAGCACTTATCTTTCATATTTTCAAAATAGCCAGTTCGACAAATGGTGATATCTCATTGTTGTTTTAATTTGCATCTGACTAGAGATGTTGAGCATTTTCTCATATATACGTTGGCCATTTGTACATCTTCTCTTGAGAAAGGGGCTATGTAATTTGGAATTTGGTAAAGTCCTATGTCTCTATTTTTATTTTGTAGCCTATACTATTTTAGTACATGCAAAAAAAAAACCCAAAACCCTTTTCAGACCTATGTCATGTAGACTGTTAGAACTGATAAACAAATTCAGAAATTTTGCAGGATACAAAATCAACTTATAAAAGTACACTGTAAAAGAAATTAAGGAAACAATTTAATTTCCAATAGCATCCAAAAATATTCAGGAATGATTTTAACCAAAAAAGTGAAAAATCTGCATATTGGAAACTACAAAATATTGATGAAAAATATTGAATACAAATAAATGGAAAGACATCCCATGTTCATGGGTTGGAAGAATTAACATAGTTTAAATGTCTGTTATCCAAAGCAATCTATAGATTCAATGCAATCCACTTCAAAATTTTAATGTCATTCTCCATAGAAATAGAAAAACAACCCTACAACTCACATGAAACCACAAAAGACCACAGATAGCCAAAGCAAGCCTGACTGAGAAGAACAAAAGTGGAGCTATCACCCTCCCAGATTTCTGAATGTCTTACAAAGTTGATCACATTGTAATCAGAACAGCATGCTGCCAACATAAACACATCCAATGGAATAGGAGTCCAGAAATAAACCCAAATTGATTGGTTTTCAAAAAAGATGCTAAGAACATACAACATGGAAATAAATGGTGCCAGGAGAACTGGCTATCCACATGCAGAGAAATCAAAATGAACCTTCTCAGCTCTTATACAAGAATCAACTCAAATGGATCACAGACCTGAAATTATAAAACAAGAAGAAGAAAATGGGGAAAGTTTCCTACCTTTTGAAGTCAAGCAATAAGAATGTGGTTCAAAGCATCCTTGAAAAAAGCTGAGGCTCGAATGCCTTGCCCTCCTGGGACTGGCAGTCCCTGGCACTGGCCTCAGGCAGACCTCTCCTGCAGTCAGCCAAGGAGCATGGGTGAAGACACGCCTCATCCCGGAGACACCAGGACAGAGAGGCCGGTGTGGGGAATCAGAGGACTGGATCAAGGCTGTGCAGACACAGAGGAGCGCAAAACTCACACAGGACTGAGATGCTGAACTCCCAGCAGGCAGTGCCCTCCAGCAGGGAGAGAGGGGCCACCTGGTGACAGCTCCCCAGGAAGACCTCACAGAAGGTGCTGCACATGGCTGGAGCACTGGACACAGTGCAGTCGCTAAGATGAAGTTCATCATGCACTCGGTCAGTCATCGGCAGTGGAAAACGTGTGTAGATGTGCCAGCTGTGCTCTGAAGGGAGAAGCTGCACCTCCCTCATTGTGTGCACCGGGCACCACCTGGAAAGTCAGACAAAAGCAAGGGGGTGAGGCAGAGGCTGGGGGCAGGCTGCCTGGGTTCAGACCACTTGGACAGGTGGCCTCCCTCACTGGGCACCTGCTCCCTGGCTGTAGGAAATGACGCTGGTGAACAAAGGTGGTGCTGGTGGCAGCAGGGACCAGGAGAGAGTGTGGGTGACAGGAGACCCTGCACAGGGGTGGGAGAGAAGTCTGGCCCTTACCTGCAGTGTGAGCTCCATCTATCCCTCTCCCTGTGAGAACACACCTGGGGGACTGACAGCCAGTGGTTCCAAAGTCAGACATGCAGCCAGGCTGAGCTTACTCCAACAGGAGAGTCGACAGCTATGGCTGGCACCTGTAGACACCTTTGCAGGTGTGGTCCTGGCCTGGAAGCTCAGGGGACAGACACACAGCGACTCACACACTCTTAGGTCCACACTGGACTCCTGAGTCGGGCGACCTGGAAGGCTGGCTAGGTCCTCCCAGCATCCTGAGAGCACATCACCACTGTGGGTTTTACACCAGGGGACCCGCCAGAGCCGGGAAGCCTTCTGAGGCACACAGCCAGCTGGAGGCGGTGCTACAGCCTGACCCCTGCCATCAGGGAAAGGGTCAGCTCTTGGTCGGAGTTCTGCTGGAGGCTCTCCTCCCCAGGGCCAAGATTCTCCGGCAGCAGGTGGCTGACCACCCCGACTTCTAAGGCCTGTGCAGACAGCCACGCGGGAGCTGCTGCTACAAGCACCTGGACTCAGGCTGCTGGCCCTAGAGCTGCTGGATCACCCTTCCACTCAGGCAGCACCCGCCTCCAGGCACTGAGTGTGAGGCCTGCTCTGGCCATGAACAAACCAGGCCTCCTGACTCCATGGAAATGCGGCCTAGTGGGAGACCACAGAGAGGCACCCGTGGGGCACCAGCCCTAACCCCTGCCCCCCGAGGCAAGGAGGTATTCCACCTGCAGCTTCCTCCTGTCCAGCACCCCCATGCTGGGACAGGCGCTGTCGAGGAGCACCAGTGGATCATCAGGGAGGCCCTGGGGAAATCAGGCTGAAACTACAGAATGAAAAGCCCTGGCACAGGGCTCTGAGGATGGAGGACAGAGCCTATGCAGAGCCCCAAATGGGGTGGGAGCAGTCCCTACATACAAGTCCAGCTAGGGGGAAGGTGGGTGGGGCCACGTCAGCAAAGCCCCTCCCTGTGGAGTGGTGGGGGTGGGGCCAGGTCTCAGGAGCCCATTTCCCATAGCCACCCATGAAGGGTCAGATGCACAGTAAAAATGCACCTGACATTCTGACACATCTGCCACCGCAACAAGATTCGACAGAACAGTAGGCGCTGTAGCTACAAGAGAGTGCCTCATATTCAACTGTTAGAAAAAGTCTTCATCTAGACTCACTACCCTAGGACTGGACTGATCAGGCCTGTGCCTGCAGCAGGCACCAGGGCAACAGGGCACCAAGGGGGATGGTACTGGAGCAGTCGAGGCCAGAGAGCCATGGATGAGGCAGACCAGTTGGCCACAGCCAGAGGCAAGAGGAAGCAAGCCTGGGAGATGCTGGAGGCAGAGGGTCAACACCATCACCCCATGAGAAGAGCAGGAGCATGGGTGAGGGGAATGTGGCTCCTGGGTGGGATCCCGGAAGGCACACAGAAGAACGGTTTGAGAAAGAGGAGGGGGGCTGATGAAAGGAGTGACCTCCCTCCAGAGGAGGTGGGACATGCAGCACTGACGGGCTGGCCCCTGAGGAGAGGGAGAGGATCGCACATCGCTGAGCATGGGGGTGCCCTGGACAGGAGGAAGCTGCAGGTGGAACACCTCCTTGCCTCCAGGGCAGGGGAGAGGGGTGGTGCCCTCCCCAGGGTGCATTGTCCCTTTGCACTTGTCTCCCTCACCACTCTGGGAGTGAGAGGCAACCAGAGCGCCTCCTCCTAGTGTCCCCACCAGCACAGTGGACTGGCATGTCTGTCTTCCCGTGGGTGGTGGTATGTCCTTCTCCTCAGGGCACAAGGTGTCTGCATTCTCCCCTGTGAACTTTGGGGTGGGTGGTTGGACTCATCCCTCAGTTGCTGTGAGTGCTGCAGGAATCCATGTTTCCTTTACTCCTGTGGCTGTGTCTGAGTGTGATGGGTACAGGTGGAAGGAGGTCACACTTAGCTTCAGAGGGTGGGAGAGCTGGCTGTGGAGCCAAGGGCTGTTGACCAGCAGTCCTGGTGCAGGGGGCTGAGTGTGGGAGGCACGGGCATCCCTGGACACAGCGGAGCCCGTGTAGCAAAGGCTGAGCGCTGGGGAGAGGAGACACCCAGGCACCTTCACAGATAATAAGGAGGCTGAGATGCGTAGTGTGAAGGAGGCTGGGAGCCAGGCTTCACCCACATCTCTGAACCACGCAGGCTGGGCTGAGGAAGGGAGCCAGAGGCCAAGCAATCATGCTCAGAGGGAACATATCAGCAACCCATCTCCCCTGTGCTGAGACACAGGCTCTTGTCCAGTGACTTTACATCTTCAAACCCCAGCCTCCCCGAGGCCAACTGCAGAGTAGGCAGCGGGAGGCACAGCCATCAGATTTTTGTCTTGCAAGCCCAGAGCAATTAATTTCAAATTTCACTCTCTCCTCCCTCTGAAGTTTCACTCATTAACCAAATGTGAGGCCAATGCTGGGCAGTGCGTGGCATGACCAAAACCCAGAGACCTTGTCACCCTGTGGATCCCTGGGTGCCTCTGGGTCAGGAAACAGAGTCCTATGCTCAGATGAAACCCTGGGTTGCATACAGGGATCAGTGTCCTCCCAGGCTCTGTGGTCAGATGTCCGTGTGCTTCTGTGTACCAGGTATGAGTCGACCCCAGTGCTGCCATGGCCAGACAGCTGGGGTCTGCAGGTCCATAGGTGTGCCACCCCCTCCAGGTGCTGCTCTGGTCAGCCAACAAGGTGTTTGAGGAGCTGACAGACATCGAGAGGCAGTTCCACAAGGCCTTCTACACAGTGCGGGCTTATCTGAACTGTGACCGGTACTCTGTGGGCCTCCTGGACATGACCAAGGAGAAGGTGAGGTCTGGTGCTCTCGGGAGCCCTCCTGCCCAGCCTGACCCAGCTCCAGGGTGACTCTCTCCTCTCTTCTCCTCTGCCCAGGAATTTTTTGATGTGTGGCCTGTGCTGATGGGAGAAGCCCAGCCATACTCAGGCCCATGCACACCCGATGGCCGGGTGAGTGGTGGTGGCAGGGCCACACCCAGCTCATAGCTTGGATTCCCTGGCTCCAACTCCAGAGGGAAGTGGGGCAGGGGACTCCTACCCGCCTGCCTGTCTGCCATCTCCCCACTGCAGCCTGCCTGCCCCAGGGTGGGATGGCTTCACCAGCATGTCCCCTCATAAGACACACACACACATGTGGCCAAGTGGTGTTCAGGGTCCAGGGGGACAGAGGAAGCTGGCTCTAAGTCAAGTGTGCAATGTGTATCCCTGACCAGGCACACAAGGTGAAATGCCGGGTGCGGGCGTGTGAAAGTGAGTGTGAAACACTTGCTTGGGGCATGTGTCTGTGGACGTGTGTACCTGTCACCTGTGTGTGCTGTGCACATGCATGTCTGGGTAGGGTGTTGGCTCCCTCCCCTCTCGAGGAGCTGGGCCAGGACCCCACCCTGTTGTGTTTTGGTTCTCAGGAAATCGTCTTCTACAAAGTCATCGACTACATCCTCCACGGCAAGGAGGACATCAAGGTCATTCCGTAAGTGCCGGGTTCTTGCAGCATCAGCATCAGTGGGGTCCCCCAGACCAGGCCCAGCCTTTGGAGCAATGAGTTCCCACCTGGCCTGTGGCCCTGAAACTTGGTCAGGGCAGCTGCCTCCTGTTCAGAGCCAGCGTGGAGGGACCTGGGAGGTGAGGAGGGAGTGGCCAGCCTGAGCACTTGGACATCCAGAGTAGACATTCAGTGGGATCAGGTAAGCTGTGTAGGTGGCTTAGAGGTCAGTGTGAAGGGTCTCTTGGTTGGCCAGCCCAGTGGTCTCAGATGGAGCCCCAGAGGTAAAGTTGACCTCTCACCCTCAAGAAGTTCAGTACAGAGCTCAGGCTAGAGGGACTGGGGAGGGAGTGCCCTCTTCACTCCTACACTGTGTGGTCAGTGACCCTATGACCCATAGGCCTGACAAGACCCCACCCCAGGCTCCAAACAGGCACAAGGATCTGGGTACCAGGCCCAAGTAATTTTGGCCAGGACTGCAGGACAGGTGGCTGACACTGAGTCCCAGGAGGCTGACAGAAGCCACAGCTTGAGAGCTATGCATAGCTCCTCTGCACGGGGAGCAGTCCTCGCAGAGTGAGAGTCCCCAGCTTGACAGAGTGAGACGAGCCTCATCCTCTGGCCTCCTCCAGTTCTCACCAGGTTCCCAGCCCCATCCCCACCTCCACCTGAGCTCAGAGAAGGGCATGATGTGAACAGTCACTTGCCTTCACAACCAAAAACTCAAGTGTCTATCCATCTGATCCTTTGCTTCCCTCCCCCAGCACACCCCCAGATGATCATTGGGCCCTGGCCAGCGGCCTTCCAACCTATGTGGCAGAAAGTGGCTTTGTGAGTGCCGTGACCCTGGACCCAGACCTGTGCCTGCTGGTGCTTGATGCTTGCACACCCTGCCTCCCCCCCACCCCTGTCCCTCCTGCCACCCTTTTGCTTTGCTAAGAAGTTCACCTCTCTCAAGCAAGGCTGGGCTGGTGAGTGCGGTCAGAATCAGTGTGCATGCAGCTGCTCCAAGTGACACCAATTCTGATCCTTTTCCAGATCTGTAACATCATGAACACCTCCACTGACGAAATGTTCAAGTTTCAGGTATCTGTCTAGTCATTGATGGAAAGAGTGTGTTTCACTTAGGAAAGAAAGCATTTTAGTTCAGAAATGATAGGCTGACTTAGTTCTTGCTGCTTAAAAAACTGCTTCAGGGGGCTGGGGATGTGGCTCAAGCGGTGGCGCGCTCGCCTGGCATGCGTGCGGCCCGGGTTCGATCCTCAGCACCACATACAAAACAAAGATGTTGTGTCTGCCGATAACTAAAAAATAAATATTAAAATTCTCTTAAAAAAAAAACTGCTTCAGTCCTAGTGGCTGATGAGAAGCATGAATTTGTGCTCTCAGATCTGCAGGTGGGCTGGGCTCTGCTGAGGCTCTGTTGGTCTTGTCTAGGCTCCACTGGGCTCAGCTTATCTTGGCAGGGCTCAGCCAATCCTGCCTGGGCTCAGCTGATCCTGTCTGTGCTCACGTGGGGCCATGTGATCCTGCCTGGGCTCAGCTGATCCTGTCTGGGCTCACTGGATGGGCTATGTGGGTTCAGCTGGGCCAGGCTGAGCCCCAGCAAGCACTTCTCTGCTCTTTATGTCTTCATCTGGGGACCACGGGCAGGGCAGGCTCTTTCTGGGGAGGTCACATGGACTGATGGGAACATGCTTTGTCTCTCAACGCCTCCTGTAAGAACCAGCCTACAGTCCCTATTCCACCATCCAGGCCCAGTGTCTTTGGGACGGCGGACAGGACCAGTTACATGATACGCAGGGCCCAGTGTAAACTGGAAGTGTGAGGCCCGTGTCCAGCAGTCGTGGACAACATCGACAGCAGGGTGGCCTGGGGCCTTCTGAGAGGGGCTTCTGTGGGACTACCACCCTCACATGCCCAAGAAGCCAGCTCTCATGGGAAAATACCCTCCTTAGTTGGAAAAATCATGACACAAAGACCATAGACACCAAGTCCTCAGACAAGGTGGGGGGTGAAGAGTCAGCAAGGAGCCTGGCTCCAGGCCTGAGGGCGGCACAAATAAGGCTCTCTCCCTGGGCAACACGCCTGGCCCTGGCCAGACCCAAGGCCACCCTCAGCTCTTCATGCCCCTACAGGAGGGGCCCTTGGATGACTCTGGGTGGGTCATCAAGAATGTGCTCTCCATGCCCATCGTCAACAAGAAGGAGGAGATTGTGGGGGTGGCGACCTTCTACAACAGAAAAGACGGGAAGCCCTTTGACGAGCAGGATGAAGTCCTCATGGAGGTAAACCAGCAGAGGGGGCCCTGCGTGATGTATGACATGCCCGCAAGTGGGGTGCCTCCCTGCATTCGGCATCTCCCCAGCACTAGGGCAGGGAGAGTGCGGATAAGGGAAGACTGCGAGGCCTTGTCCCTGAAGGCCCCACTGGAAGGCGCTAGCTGTGCGGCAGGTGGCCAGGCAACTGCCCACCGAATGGTCAGCAGGGCTCCTCAGGGGGCTCAGAGAGGTGGGTGACACTGCTCTTCTGTCTCCAGTCGCTGACACAGTTCCTGGGCTGGTCGGTGCTGAACACAGACACCTACGACAAGGTGAACAAGCTGGAGAACCGCAGAGACATCGCCCAGGACATGGTTCTATACCACGTGAGATGTGACAAGGACGAGATCCAGATGATACTGGTACCGCAACTTGCATTCCACAGTGCCTTTGCACAGGGAGGCAGGCAGCCCAGCCGGGGACGCATACCGGGCCGACCCCAGGCACTGGCCTGGCACCTGCCCCAGGACCTGCCCCAGTATCCACATACTGTCTGCCTAGGCCAGGGCCCCACACACTGCCAGCCCAGCCAGCCCTGGAACCTGCCTCTGCACCCACACACTGCCCGCCCAGCCCAGGACCTGCCCCAGGACTTGCGCCAGCACCCACACACTGCCGATCCTGTCCAGGGACCTCCCCTAGGACTTGCCCTGGGACCTGCTCCAGGACCCACACACTGCTGGTCCAGCTCCGGGACCTGCCCTGGCACCCACATACTGCCTGCCCAGCCCTAGGATCTGTCCAATGCCACGGGCTCAGCTGCGGATGGGTGTGCCCAATGCCCTCCTGCCTATCACGCAAGGCTCCGTCATCCATGCAGAGTGCTGAGATCAGTGCCAAGAGGCAGGAGAGTGAGTGGTGCACACGTGCACACACAGACACACACACACACACACAATCATGCACACGTACACAGTCACACACACTGGGGCTCTCAAGCACCTGCTCCCTCCCATGGGGGTGCCTATCTGTCTGGAATCGAGGGTACCCTGGCCCAAGGAGATGGCTGCCCATCAGTATTCAGAGGTCCCTTTGTCCAGTGTGCTCACGTGTGAAGGTGATGTGGTCCCTCTCTCACTCAAGGGGTGAGAGCAGTGCCATCTCTCTGTCCCATGACCTGCCTGTTGCTCCCTTTAGCCAACGAGGGAGCGCCTGGGGAAAGAGCCTGCTGACTGTGAGGAGGATGAGCTGGGGAAAATCTTGGTGAGGACCTGTCTCTGCTCCTCAGTGGGTGCTGGTAGCTCCTGCCAGCAGGGGAGTTCCCCTGGGACAGGATGCCATCTCAGGATGTTGGCTGTCATCTACATGGGCCTGTGGTCGGGTGTGTCTGCACTCCTCAGAAGACATCTGTCTACAGGACCCTGGCTCTGAATCTTTCTTGGCCAGTGTGTTGAGCTCACGTCCAGCTGGGGCTGACCTGACATCTGCACTGCCAAGTGCATCTGTATGCCCGCCTGTCTCCTCTGTACTTCCAGAACTGTCCACGCTTTAGTCTCTGCAGGCGTGACTTGGACCAAGTGTCCATCTGTGCTGCCCCTAGAGGAGGGCCAGCACACACAGCACACACAGACATATGATTGTGTGTCTCCCAGAGAACATCACAGATCACCCTGGCAGTCGTGTGACACCTCCAGCTCTGTCATCTGTGTGATTTACCACTGTGTGGTCTTGGAGCATGTGATCATTCTTGACAAGTTATGACTGTCCCCAGTGTCTGTGTCACCTGTGCTTGTGTGAAAGTGTCTGCCATGAGTCTGCATATACGTGCCTACGCCTACCTGCGTCTGTCCATGTGTGCTTATCTTTTCCTGCACACGTCTGTGTTTGCTAGTTTGCCTCCCTGACATCATTATGTCTGCTCAGCTGGGTGGGAGGAGAGGGAGGACGGTCTGAGTTAGGGGGATGTGAACATCCCAGGCCATAGGCTGAAGATCACACTAGAGATGCCCAGGGCATCTAGCTGGAGAGAGGGTTCTGAGAGGAGGAGGGATGGCGAGCAGGTAGGGCTGGTGGGCCTGCCTCCCTCAGCTCACAACCCCCCTGCAGAAGGAAGAGCTGCCAGGGCCCACCAAGTTTGACATCTATGAGTTCCACTTCTCTGACCTGGAGTGCACTGAGCTGGAGCTGGTCAAGTGTGGCATCCAGATGTACTATGAGCTGGGCGTGGTCCGCAAGTTCCAGATCCCCCAGGAGGTGGGGACATGGTCGAGGGTCCCTAATCCCCTGGGAGGTGGGAGGGCATGGTTGAGGATCCCTGATCTCCAGGAGTTGGGGGGCATGGTTGGGGCTCCCAGATCTTCCAGGAGGTGAGTAGAATGTGGCAATCAGTGTCCCGGGAAGTTTTGGGGACATTTTCTTGTAAAACCACAAAGTATGCCTAGAATAGATGAATGGATAGGTGGATAGACAGATGGAGAATGTGTGGATGAGGCTTCCTGGATGGAAGGGTGGATGGATAACTGGGTAGATAGACGGACAGATGAATGGATGGCAGATGGATGAATGGATGTGGGGGGTGGGGTGGGTGATGGACAGACCAGTGGAAAAGTAGGTGAGCGGGTGGATGGAGTATGGACAATGGAAGGGCCAGTGGGTGGGTGGGTGGACGCACGATGAGTGATGAGGGTATGGTTGGTAGATGAATGGTTGGTGGGTGGGCAGGTGGACAGATGGATGATGGGAGGATGGACAGAAAGTCTGACTAGTAAGAATCCAGGCAACCTTCTCACTGGGTGCATCCCTGAGCAGTAGTGAGTTGGCGTGGGGTGCAGAATGGAAGCAGCTCCTCACCCAAGAAGAAAGTACCTAGTGTCCCTTGGGTTTGGCCACAGGCGGGCCCTGGAGGGAAGGGGTGGCTCTCTCAGCTCTGGGCCACAATTCTGCTCCACCTGCAGTTTTCTTGCTCTGTCCTGCGTCCAGCTCCACACCTGCTTCCCACAGCCCAGATGAGGGAGTCTATCACCTTTCCTCATGCTCCTCAGAGAACAGGAGCCACAGGCTGTCTTTTTTTGGAAGAAGCTTTAGTAAATACTAAGGGAAAACACAAAAGAAGAATTTATAGAAAATACTAACAGAATAAAAATATTCCCAAATAATTTTCTGACCCCAAATATCACAAGGGAAGCAAGAGGCTCCTCTGAGCCCCAATGATAACTGCCTGCAGAGTCCCTACCCTTCTGTCCACAGACCACATATCTGGCCCATTCAAATGTCCACACCTAAAACTGATTCTTAGGGTCTCCTCGGGGTCCCCTCCCCAGTTTCGGGCTGGGCCATAGGCCAAGGCACCAACTCCTAATGGCTGCAGCCAATCTTAGCTCTTCCCACCCAGCTCAGGCTTCCCACCACCCCTGCAGGTACCCAAGAAGCTCAGGCAGTTCCACTGGGAACTAGGGGAATGGGAGGCTCAGGGGACCAGCCTTCACACATGAGGTTTGGGGATTCAATGCTGATCAAAGACCTGCATGTCCTCTGCCCCAGGTCCTGGTGCGGTTCCTGTTCTCTGTCAGCAAAGCCTACCGGAGAATCACCTACCACAACTGGCGCCACGGCTTCAACGTGGCCCAGACCATGTTCACACTGCTCATGGTGTGTGGACAGGGCAGGGTGGGCAGGGCACCACAGCCATTTCCACCTGCCTGGCTCCTGGGGTGGGAGTCTTCCCTAGGCCAAGGGAAGGAGGCAGCCCACACCCTCCAGCCAGTGCTTACCCAGCCGGGCTGTGGGCAGAGGGCCCCTGGGCAGGGGAGCAGGAGGGGGTCCAGCCCACAGATACCCCTGCCCTGGCCTGACTGGAGCACGGAGCTGGGCCAGAAACAGCACCCAGGCATGGACATGCCCCCACAGACAGGCAAGCTGAAAAGCTACTACACTGACCTGGAAGCCTTCGCCATGGTCACAGCAGGCCTGTGCCATGACATTGACCACCGAGGCACCAACAACCTGTACCAGATGAAGTAGGTGCCTGGCACAGCCGTGGGTCACCTTCCTGGGGTCATCTGCACAGCTGGCCTGGCCCACTGCCTTTCTGACTGCTTGCATTTTGAATACACTCTGTAACAGATCCCAGAATCCCTTAGCCAAGCTTCACGGCTCCTCCATCTTGGAGCGGCACCACCTGGAGTTTGGGAAGTTCCTGCTGGCAGAGGAGGTTGGCCCCTCACTGGCTCCGGGGACCCACAGGGCTTGGGTGGGTCAGGGTGGGTTTGGCTGCAAGAGACCTGTGGCTGTGTGAGGAGCCAGGACAGGTTCACAGATGGTGTCCAGTGGGGTAGGCCTGGGGCTTTGGGGTACTAGGGCAACGGGCCCAGGACTCTCCCTGTGAAGTGAGGTGCAAGGCCTTCGAGATCCAGAGCCTATAGCCACAGCAGAAGCTGCTCAGAGCTTCTCCCTGTGTCCACAGGGAGGGCAGAAAGCTGGGAGGGAAGGGGGCTGCCCTCCCAAGGAGCAGGAGCAGGCATAAGCCTGGCGAAGTACACAGGAGCCTGGGGCAGAGGAGGTGCCTAGCCTGAGAGCTGCAGCCAAGGGCCCTGTGCAAGCCTGACAGTGACCGGCACCAACTGACACTCGCAGAGCCTGAACATCTACCAGAACCTGAACCGGCGGCAGCATGAGCATGTGATCCACCTCATGGACATCGCCATTATCGCCACGGACCTGGCCCTCTACTTCAAGTGCACACCCCACCCCGGGATGGCAGGGGCGGGAGCGGGGGCATGTTGGTGTGAGACTCGCCACCATTTGCCCTCCCTCCTTCCTGTGTCCAGGAAGAGGACAATGTTCCAGAAGATTGTGGATGAGTCCAAGAACTACACAGACAAGAAGAGCTGGGTGGAGTACCTGTCCCTGGAGACGACGCGGAAGGAGATAGTCATGTGAGTGCACTCCCTCCTGCAGACCTGGGAGAGGACCCTCAGGGACAGCACTGCTGGGTTTGGAGGAGCCAGTGCAGGATCTAGGGTCAAATGGGATGTCCTTGGTTTCTGGCCTTTAGCAACCCTCACTTCACTCTCAGCTTCCCTTCCTTCATCTTCGATCCGGTGCCCCAAGACTAGCGCCTTCCCCAGGCCGTCTCAGGAGCCCAGGACACCAGCAAGAACTCATGACTCTGCTCTGTCTGCCGGCAGGGCCATGATGATGACTGCCTGTGACCTGTCTGCCATCACCAAGCCCTGGGAAGTCCAGAGCAAGGTCAGGCCTGGCTGGCCAGACCCAAACTCACCCTTCCAGGGCCCCTGGGTCTGCATCTGGGGAGCCTCAGAGGGGGGAGAATGCAGCTTGCAGTCATGCTGAAGGCGGCCATGGGCCTGCCAGGGTACAGCAGTGGGGGTGCCTAGCGCCTGAACCAGCAGAGCCTGAGAGCTCCAGGTGAAACTGCACCACGCCACCTTTGTGAGGGCCCAGGCTGGGGTGCAGCCTTAGGGCAGGGCCCGAGAGCACAGAACCAACTGCGCTGCCTTTGTGTGCCACCAGGTTGCTCTTCTGGTGGCCGCTGAGTTCTGGGAACAAGGTGACTTGGAAAGGACAGTTTTGGATCAGCAGCCCATCGTAAGTGTTGCTTCCAGAAGCTTCTGCCCTGATGAGGGGACAAGACCCCATTGTGGTGCTGGGGAACAGGGACTCTGAGGTCTTTGCCTCCTGTGTGTAGTTGTGCCACATGAGAATGGATGGCTTCACCTCTGGTGAGGTGGAGTGCAGGGCATGGAGGTGGTCTCAGGACCAGAAGCCAAGTACAGGCAGCTCCCAGATGTTCCCCGGCCAGGCAGGATGGCCCCAGGGACAGTGTAGGGCAGGGAAAGCCGGGGTGAGAGTCCAGGGCAAGACCAGCATCCGTGCAAGAAAGGTACGTGCAGTGCGGTCAGAACACACTGCTAGCACAGGACAGCTCCTGGCCACCCTGCTCAGCCCCATGGCACAAGATGGGAAGTCTGATCCCAAAGCCAGATTCAACCAGCGCAGATGGCTGTCTGAAGCAGGCTGCATGCCAAGTATAGGCTCCACAGCACATCTGGGTTCTGGTCAGCTTAGTGACAGGCCAGCAGCTGGGGCATAAGGGCAACACTGGGGACAGTGCCCTGTGGACAGAAGACCCTTAGATGAACCAGCAGTATCCCACATGAGGGTCAGAGGCTCAGAAGTAGGAAGGGGCAGCCTGGGCAGCTGGCAAGGAGGGGCATCTTGGCTCTCTGCTTCTAGGCCAGCTCTGGTAGCTGAGCTTGGCCCTCTATGGGCTGCACCTTTGCCCCTGGGCTCTGCTCATTCTCTCTCATGAACGTGTTCACTAGAGTGTAGGGGTGGGTGCCAGCTGGGGCCTGAAGGGCCTGAGGAGATGGCACTGGGTAAGCTGCCTTTGCTTCCTCCACAAGCCCATGATGGACAGGAGTAAGGCGGATGAGCTCCCCAAGCTGCAGGTTGGCTTCATTGACTTCGTGTGCACGTTCGTGTACAAGGTGGGAATCCCCGGGCCGTGGGTGTTGACAGAGCAGCCAGGAGCCCACAGGGGGGTGGGCGGGACTAGCAGTGACCTCACAGCAGGAGGAATGCCTGTGCAGACTGCCACCCATGGGGGTACCTCCCCCCCAGCCTCCCCCCACCTGCTCAGCCATGGCGTGTACTCATGCCTGCACTGGGGATGAGACCTGCCACCAGCCGTCCTTAGAAGCACCAAGAATGCCCCCCCAACCCACCCCGCGAGGTCTCTCCTCAGGGACCCTGCCTCTGTGGGGCCCTTGCACAATGGTGGGCACCTGTCTTCAGGGCAATGACTGCTACTTGCCTATGGGTTCCTTTGTGGGTGTCTGTAAGCCCTCAGGAGTGGGCCTGGGTCTGCCCATCCCTGCTAGTGTGCCCTGCCCACATGACCTACAGAACATGGGAATGCAGCCATGTTCCTGCCCAGTGGCCAGGGACCCAATGCCCTGCTGGGCCTGAGTTCTGTTGTTTGGGCCTCTGAGGACACAGGGAGGGACTGGGAAGACACTGACCTGGTGGGGGTCTGACTGACCCCCTGACCAGGCAATGCCCCACCCCCCTCTCTAAGAAGGGTGCTATTTGGCTTTAGGTGAAGTGGCCCTGATCAGCCACTCAAGCAGGGTCAACATGGACATGTCCTTTTAAAGTGGCCAAAGGTCACAGTCCAGCAAGGGTGACTCCCTCTGCCTTCCTCAACTCCATCCACAGGGGCTGGGCAGGGAGACCACCATCCTAGCCCTCCAGGAGCAGAGGGGACACACATGTGGCTTCTGTTTCCTCCAGGAGTTCTCCCGTTTCCATGAAGAGATCCTGCCCATGTTTGACCAACTACAGAACAACAGGAAGGAGTGGAAAGCACTTGCTGACGAGCACGAGGCCAAAATGAAGGCCCTGGAGGAGGAGAAGGAGGACGAAGAGAGTGTGGCGGCCAAGAAAGGTCTGGGCCCTGGCCAGCCTGGGGCAGGGACTCGGCTTACCCCCGACAAAGCTGTGAGACTTAGGGAAAGGAAGGGTGCATGCCCAGCGGCCCCACGGGGGATGCCGTCCACAGTGGGGAGGTCACCTGTACAGTGACAGAGCCAGGAGGGTCTCACTGCTCCTGGCTGAGCTCAAGTCTCTCCAAGTAACTGCGCTGCTGCCCTTGTAAAGGGAAGCAGGCTCACTGCACTCTCAGCAGCTCCCTTCCACCACCGAGGAGTCGAACCCTAAGTAGCTTGTAAATTGCACCCACATGCCCATGCCACCCTCAGAAACCAAACAGCAAAACTGGAAACTAGTGAGCTGCGCAGGAGTTAGTCCTGCAGTGCCCACAGTCCTGTCACAGGGCCTGACTCAGTGACAAGTCAGCACACCCAGATCAGAGCCTCCATGCACTGTCTGGCTTCCCTAGTCTGGGCCTTGTTACTCCCTGCATGCTGTGCCATGGGGTAAGCCAGCATGAAGAAGGCAGCCATAGGGTTGTGGGAGGCCAGGACTGAGAGCAATCTTGGTGTGGTGTCAAGAGAGGTGAAGCACTAAGAACAGCTCAGCTCCACTTAACCTGCTTGGGCTGGCCAGACCTGCACTCCACCCTTTCCCTGAAGGGGAGAGAGCACACAAAGCAGGAGGGCGAAGGCTCCCCACTCACCCTGTTTTCTCTCACAGTGGGCAGAGAAATCTGCAATGGTGACCCAGCACCCAAGTCTTCCACCTGCTGTATCCTGTAAGCCCTGGTCTAGGGGACTGCTAGCTCCCTCCAGGCCCTCAACCTCTGGAACATGGGCTCTGCCTCCTGCACTTTGGAGTAAAAAGTTAGGAAGCCAAGAAAATGACTGAAGACAGTTTGAAATATTTTGAATTTTTATAAGGTTTTTTTAATAAACTTAAGCAAACTCTCAATAATTTATTAAAGAGTATAGCCTACATCACTCTTTTTTGAATACAGTTCCCACAGAGATCTTTGAAAGAGGCCTGTGAACTGTCTGAAATTGCTGAGTGGGGACGCTCAGAACTGCACGGATGTGTGTACACAGGAATGTAGCATCCCTGTCTCACCTGCTTCAGGAAGAACATGCCCAAGAATTCAGAATAAAGCACAGATCAAACTGTCCATTTTCACACACTAGTCACTGTGGGGGACACAAAAGAGTGCTTGAAAGCTCTGCCAGCAAGCTCAAGGCCAGGACTAGAGCGCAGTCAGCTGGCAGTGGTCTGTAATGAACACTGGAGGCCAAGCTTCTACTGGCTCAGACCCTGCACCAGGGAGTCTTAAGGAAGAACTGTTGCCTCTCATGACTTAATATTGGTGGACTAGGGGACCGGCAAAGGCAGAAAGTCCAGTGGGCCTTGACTTTGAAGTGAGTACCATCTGGCAGAAAACAAGGGTTACTAACTCAGCGAGCATCATGTGTGTTCCCCACTGGACAGTACTCTGCAGGATAGGGTCACTCCTTGGGACCATCTGCCTACTTGCAGCAGGGAGCCGGTTTTCATCTCACCTCAGTGACACCTGGTGACAGCCTCAGACAGGAGCCTGGGACAGCAACCATTGAAGACCCAGGTGCTGGGACACCACTGCTCAAGGTTGGGGGGTGGGAGTGCTCGTTCACCCACAAAAACCAAATAATAGGCTTCTGAAACATTTGTAAGCCATTTCCATATGTTTACAAATATATTCACTTTACAAAAACTGAGGCTTTCTGCCTAAGGGATTGGCTCCTGGCACACAGCTGGGAAGCAGCAATACCCCACCCATCCAACTCCAACTCACAGCCTCAGTGGCCAGGAGTCCAGTCTGGGGAGGTTAGGGCTCACCTTTAAGAGACCACCTCCCTGGGCTTCTGTCTCAAGGTTGCCCTGGCCACCTTGAAATACAGAAAAGGATTGTGAGTTGAGGACAGAAGACCCAGCTTCCAACTTAAAATTGCATCACCACCTCCACCCACCTTCCAATCCCTCTTTTGCCTATCCAGGAGCCTGGGCTGCTGGCAGAAGCAGGGTAGAGCACGGAGCAGTTCTAGGGACTGCTCCATTAGAACTGACTACTCAAAGGCCCCCTCAACACCCCAGAAAACAGGCATCCATTTGTATACTTGTTGCTGTTTGTGAGCTGTGTTCTGGGTCAGTAATGAGTGATGCTCGTTAATCCCTTTGAAATCCCCTCTAAGAGGCCTCACCCTGAGGAAAAGACAGCACAATTGCTGAGCAGAGTCCAGGAACCTAACCACTGGAGAAGCAGTAATGAGAGGGAGCCAAACATCACGGAGGAGGAAGCTTTATTCATCTGCTGGGCTGGGGAGAGGCAGGCTGGGGAGCCTCACTTCAGTATGCTGTCATCTTGGGCTGAAAGGTTGGAAAAGACACACTCAGGCAACCTAAGAGGCCCCTTCAGAACCTCAGACTTTAACCCAGAATCCAATCCAAGGACCCCCACTGCACTTCACTAAAATGGATCCTGGCCTCTCCTCCCTTCGACCTGACTCAGCCTACGGGGATCAGCACGCTGCGGCCAGCCGCACGCCTACTCTCCAGGGCTGCTCCCCACAGGGCAGGCCAGAGGCGGCACCCCTCCCTCCACTAAAAACGGGATGGGCAGCTTAAGGCTCGCTCCTACCTTCGGCCCGTTCTCTCTCAATCCGCTTCAGCTCATCCTGCCTCTTCTTTTCCTCTGCGGCTACCCTCCTCTCCTCTTCTGCCCGGGGTTTTAGGTAACCTGGAGGGGTGGGGGCTTCGATTAACCTCCTCCCTAAAAACGCTGCGTGAAGAGGCTGGGTAGCTGCGACCCCTCCGCCCAGCCCGCCCGCCCCGGCACTCACTGTAACGCTTGGCTCCGTAGGCCACACCGAGGGCCAGGGCGGAGTAGCGGCCGAGCTGCGGGACAGAACAAGGCGACTGGGCGTCAGGCGCGGCGGGAGTCGCAGCCCGCAGGCCACGGGCGGGGGACGCGGGGGGTCGCAGCCT